TATTCCAACGCAATTTGAGTAGCTAATTCCTCTGTCACTAAGTAACTTCCCACAAATGCCAAAACATACATATTCCAACTGTCGTCTGCTGCCAGTCATTTTATCATTCGTTGACACACAAGCCAAAAAATATTTTTGTCTGATGCCAAAAGTAATCGTGATCGTATTTTACCAGATAGAAATTGCTAACCAGGTGACGACATTACGCAAAGGAAGCACGACAAGCATATATACATAATCCTGTTTAATCATAACACAATGCTGTATATTAATTAGACAGGTGTATAACTCATAAACAGTATCGATGAAAAATGTATATTTTTTTGTTTTCAAACCATCCGCGGAGCCTGGTGGCGCCATTTTAACCGCGTTGTCGTGGTCGTACAAGACACTGCGGTATTCTTCTTAACAACAAATATATTAAAATTTTGTGCATGGAGTAGATTTTAATAAAATTGCCACACACTTAATAATTAAACGCCTACGATCTGCGTTCTTTTCAATATTGCACATGGTGTTATTTCCGCAGTCGTAAATTGTTTTCATGATGATTAAAGAGACCGTTTATTTTGTAAAACGTCTGTGCAGAATAATATAATTAAAAAGCGATATCTCATAATAGACACATCAAAACACCATTGTCTACCGTTAGAATTATTAATGTTATTTTAATTAGGATTAAAGGGCTAATTTGTTCAAAGGTGTTAAAGACAAGTCAATAATTTGAAAGATGTTACTTTGAATTGAAAACCATATTTTATTTGTTTTGCACATTGCAAAGAAAAAAGTTGTCTTAACTAAATTGAAATAAGAGTGATTTTTTTTTTTATTTTGCATTTCCCTAATGTTTAAAGTCTAAAAAATTCCTTTTGTTTGACTTTTGTGTGGGCTGTGCGTTAAAAAAGATACATCGTGTGCGAGACACCCTGTCACATGCACATAAATGATGTATCCCTAATAGCAAACTACTTACAATTAAGGCTTTTGGTAAGAATCAAGCTGTGCAGAAGTGAGGCATAAGAACATCTTGCAAATTACATGATCAACTTAAATAGACTTCATGCTACTTGATTTCTCCGTCGGTATTTCATTCATGACATAATCGTTTCATTTGTAAACCCGTCTACATGCTTGGGTTCTATGCTTCCCAGAGAGGTTAGAACGGTTTAGGAAATAAATAAATAAATAAATAAAAACCGGGCGTTTTATTTACAAATCCAACCTTCTCCTTGTACGATTTGTGCCAAATCCGAATTATTATTATTATTATTATTATTATTATTATTATTATTATTGCTGTATGTCTTGATGGTTCTACCCCAAAAATCAATTAAAGGAATACTGGTTTTTCATAAGGTCTTTTGTCGTCCAGAAACAGAATTTTGACTGTGATACATGCTAAATTGATGTCTTTATAGAAGCGACAGAGTCACTTATTTCAATGTGGACATTCACAGCGTTCCGCACGCTAATTTTTACGGTTCTGCCTCATAAGCACTCTCACTTTATCAAAATGCTCTAAGCCTTCTTTATGTATAGAATGGGGTTGGGGGATGTATGGTCTTTGCTAAAAAGCGTTCTGCTCCACGAAGCAGTCTTTGTCCGACCCATTTAATACCTGACTGACAATTGCGTTAAAATAGCGCTTGATGCACGTTGTTAAAGGGAATGTTTATGGAATTTGAGACATAAAGACACTTAACAGAATATATAGGAAGTCTTTGACATTTACTCGGCACAATGATCATCACTCCTCTGAAGCAGAAACTCCAAAATGGTGGTCATAACTGTTGAAGCCCAATTTTCCATGGTCGATTTATTTTATGTATTCCCTTATTTTTCATTTACGGTAAAGTAAAATAATTTAAAATGGTTGTATGGTGGTATTTGTGTTGCCCGTCATTCGCGTAATGTTTTTTTACTTGAATGAAACTCTTTAAATCGTTTAAATACATTAAAAACAAAAAGAAATTTGCCTTCAAACATGTGAGTCCTGAACAGGAAGGTTACTATTGTTTCTTTTTGCCCTTTTCGAAACATTATGCACTTTACCAATTGAAGGGGCATCAACTTACAGACCACCATTTTAGTCTTACTTAATCCTAGAAAAATTAGTAGTCGTCCCATAAAATGAAGCATTGCGCCCGTTAAATGTTTATATTTTATAACAGCATTTTCTTTACAAGTCCGCTAATATGGATTTAAAGGGATAGTAACTCTTCATATGAGTTCTATATTTCACAATAAAACATTGTTAACAACTTATAGAAATATAATCTATTGTTTTACCACGAAAACGGCAGTTATAGCTATTATTCTCATATCTGAGCTTGTCATCGGACCACGTGACCTCCATAGATGGCTATACTCTGTAATAATCTCTTAAGAGATTATTGTAAAAAATAAAACTTTTTGGAAATAAACCAGGGACTAACTTTGAATGTAGAAATGGATTCATTAACCATTGGTAAGTATGGGAAAATTGTTGTTTACTCCAGGAAAATTCATTTTTGTCCAAAACGAACAGTTATCCCTTTAACTAAAGTATACCAAATTTTTGGCCTAAAGGCATTATTGTTTCGAACCAATAAATTATATAAATCTACTACCTATGGATCTTACTTAAACAGGAGTATACCATTTTTTGATCTGTTGGCAGTGTTCCCCCAGACTGTCCCTTCAGTCACATATACTGTACATGCACCGTGGCTCAAAGGTGAACGGGTGACAAATTCAGGGACAATGGTCAATGATTTAAACATAAAACCGTGTAACTGGGTCTCTCTGTACCGTGACCGCTTTAATGGTGGTCGACATGCAGACAACTGCGTTTAAAAGCCGAGGTTTATAAACCTCGTTCCTGGCGTCTTACGTGTTGTGTTTTAATAAATTGTCTTTGGTAGTAGTGATGACTGACCTTTGGGTCAGCAAGGATGACTGTTCTCCTTTTTGCACTAAAAACGTTACTTTGGTCACAGAAGTGTAGAGTAAAGTGCGACTACCCCTTCCACGCACGCGCAACTCAATCCCACAAACGGAAAGATACATTAATTCATTATAGGCCTATATTGCTAAGTTATGTTTTTACTAAAACCATTATTTGACAACTGCAACAGTGAAAAGAAAATATGGCCCTCGAAAATTTACATAGTGCTTGTATGTATGTATTATTTTTTTACATTTGATTATTTTTTGCCCTTATTTAAAGTTGGCACACGTGTTATGTGCTTTCTTGGTATATTCTTGTGGTCATATAGGGATGTTTCCTCTTCATGTGAAACTAGATAGATATAAACAGCCTGCTGACCCAGCTGATAAAAAGACTGTGGTGGGATATGCAATTCCAATGTAGTTCAAAATCAAATATACCTTCTTTTTCATCCAGGAACAATTCTTTAATGGAAATTTTGTTCAACAATGTCTCGGATATGCTATCCACTTCTCTCGAGTTCAATAATGGCGAAAAATAAAATGTTCTAATGACAAACGCGTCAAAACCTGTGCAAAGTATATCTCAATGGCCTTAAAAAAACTTCCAGCGCCACGAATTCATTCATTTACCTGTGAGGCAATTATGACTGTGCGTTATTTTTGTATATAATAATTTTGTTGTGTTATTTGGAAACAGGTGTCACGTTTATAAAACACCATACATGTATTTATTTATCTTTCTATCTGTTAAAGTCGCAGTATGTATAATATTTTGTTTATGTCGTGTATATTTGGTAACTATGTTTTGTATCCCCTTTTGAAGACATTATTGTTGCACTTGACCTTTTGACGTGAATTTACATGAAATTAACGTACACCATTAAAAGTTTTAAATTAATCTGAAAAAATTTTGAGGAATATTCTAGCTGTTCTAAGATTCATGATAAAATTTCCATCGTAATTATTTGATAGACTACCTTATTGCACTTCCATTTTATTAAGAACATTGTCTTGATTAAGGTCGAAAGACTGTGAGAGCCGCATTTAAAAAAGTTGAAAGAGGGCAGTTTATCTTAAATTTACGTGTTCTATACTGTAGGTGGACAAATGACATTTGAAGATGCATTACGTTTCTGACACGTTTCGGTAATTAAAACGTCCGTTAACGCAAGTAAAATCCGCGAAAAATCATGTAGGCCTTATGTTTATCAACATGATTCATAGGAAACCAATAGACAGGATAATTGATACTTTCAAGGACGAAAAAGAGAAAAAGGCTGATAAAGTCAGGTTACGCCACTTTAAATATCGCAAGTTAAATATACGAAAAAACGACACTTATAAATCGTGCAAAAAAATAATCACCAACAAAATGGATGTTAAGCACATATCCGCTCGTTGTTTCACATTGGTCGGAAAGGGAACCCCTATGAATTTGGTCAATTAGTAGGGAATGCTCTTATTTATTTTCTTACTAAACTTTGGTACACCCAAGAAAAAAAGAGAGAAATAATAGTGACACATATGAATGGCGTATGTAACATATTTGAAATAGTAAGGCAAATGAGCGTGTCCATTTCACTAACCGAATTCACACATGCCCTCACACACAACTATACCAAGATTAAGTAACGAGGTGTGGAACATGCTCGAAAGTTTTGAGCATTAATCGGAAAAGGAGCACCTGCCAATTTGCATAATATATCGCCTTTTGATATCTGATACGCAAGCTGCAAGTAAAAAATTCAAAATACGTCAGGGGAAGTGATAAAGATGCCTTTGCATGAAACAAACATGATTTTTATGCGCCTAAGAAGAATAACGGAAAAAGTGACACCTGCATGTAAAAATGAACAACTCCCCCTTCTTTCAAAACTAAGACGTCAAAAGTGACATTCATACACTAAAAACATTCAGGTGATTAAGTAAGAAGAAGACACTTTAACACCTCTGAATAAAAATTTCACGTGGGTTATGACCCAACACCGGAAGACAAGCACCTGCAAATATGGTTAATTTTTCTTATTAAAAACTGAGCCTCAAAAACGTAATATACAATGCATGGCAGGGGGATGATTGAGGAGTTTGAAAAAAAAAATCTGAAGAGACCCCCTCCTGAGGAGTGCCAGAGCGACAAAGCTGCGGTTCGTTGCGTCCCATGGAGATAAATGCCCCTTAATTTTGCGGTAATTGACATCATATAAGTTAAACTGCTCATTCCCCGGGACTTTTATCTGTTTGACAAGTTTATAGGGACGCGGTACTTCGTCAACTGAATTCAGCAACGCAGTTAAAGTCGTTCGAGTTTAGTCATTTGTTTTTGTGAAATACTCTATTGAAAGTGTTTACGGTGCATTTTTTCACATATCTGGATTACAAGGACAAAAACAACGCAATAAAAGGAAAACGTCGCGTTTTAAACATAACTGATACACATAGAAGACACCATAGCGATCGCCCGGGAAATGGATACGAGCATTCTTCATCGGGCTGCTGTAGCTGCAGCATGGGTGGCCGTCTTACAACTGACCCTGGTTGGTCATACGGACGCTCGATCCTGCAAACCATGCTGGTTGACCATGACCGGACCCTGCCCAATCGTCCAAGGATGCGAAGTGGTGCTGAGGCCGTGTGGATGTTGCCCCGAGTGCGCTCTCCCTCAGTTTGCCAGGTGTGGAGCATACACAGCAAGGTAAGCATTGTAGATATTACAAAATTAAATATTTATGTGTCTCAAAGAAAGAAGAAATTAATGCCACACGTGCACACGACCCACAGCGACACTTCGCAATGGAAATTAATGATCATGCAGTAGGTCTATCTTTAATCAATTATTGATATGAGCGACAGACTGCAGTACATTTCAAAGCCCCTCTCATGAAGTTTCTCTATAATCGATATTATTCAATAACTAAGTTTGGCTGTCGTCAGTATGTTGATTAGGAGACCTCAGAAAAGTGATATCGATCGAGATCAACGACACTAAAACTTTGTTTCTGTTGTTAAATAAACAGCGTTTTCATTCTTATCTGTTTTATTTCATTGTGCCCAAATGCAAATTGGGCGTTTTAACTTTACAAATGTTCCTAATTAAAATACGAAGAAACAGATTCAACCTTGGATGCTGTTTAGATTTGCATGTTATTTTTTTGTTAGAAATATACATCGAGCGCCCTCTTTCGTCCTAGGAGTTCAAAATTTAAAATAAATCAAAATGGCCATTTAATATTTCAAACTTCATGATATTAATTTAAGAGAAGATCCCTTAAGACATAACAGATACAGCTGTTTAAGAAGAAAAAAAGGTATTTTGAGCTCCAAAAATAACCTTAATCTTGATCAAAACTCCAAGACAAACGTTTGGTTTTCTTCTCTAGTTCCTTTCGTCACAATTCTGTAATATTATGGTTAATTTTTGTAAAAAAAAGTAAGTAAGAAAGGTGTAGATATTCTATCCTCATGCACAATATTGCTGATTTAACTTTAATTTGAAAAGTCTGATTGAACATAAAAATATTTGAGTTTTAGTTCCACTTTTCAAGCGATCACTGCCTCCTACCTTTAAAATTTTCGTGTCTGCACTTTATCATGGTCTTGGTTTCTTATAAACTGTCAAGATCATATGAGTGCAATTATATTCGCCTTTTTATTTTGCCACCCCAACCACCCATGTTGCCTAAAGGTGGGATACTGTGTTTCTCTTCAAACAAGTGGGTAAACAGCTTTTAGAAAGTCGTTGAGATCGGGTAATGGATCTATAGACTTGCTCCTAAAAATGGCATCGATCTATTCAGTTTTTACAGACTGTTTCCTCTAATAGATTTTTTTAACAAAAAAAAGTTGTGTACCATTGTTCTTAGGCAATGCTGTCCACAGCTGGGTTTAATTTATATATATTTGTAAATGAATAATTAAAAGAATAAAGAAAGTTGAAAGTCAGCTTGAAAAAACATCTTTTTCTTCAGTAACCTTCATTTTAAGTACGGCAGAGGACAATGTGTAATTTTCAGTGCGAAAGCAACACAATAGAAAATTTACACTATTATATTAGAAAGAGTTTTCAAAAAGTTAAAGGTTTTTTGTTAGTATTATCTGTATTACCGGTTGAAAATGCACCTTGTATAAACGACATCATAAAAACGTTCATTTGAGAGCAGATTCCATCAATGGGGATTCTACTTTAGTAGTCGAAGTTTTAACAACACAGAAAGCAACATACGTGTAAATCCGAGATTTCCGTCAGGGTATGCTAACTGCATCGGTGTAATGTTTGTAAACTACACCATTATAAAGTTTAATTGCGAAATTATGTGAGTTAAACTGTTCCATGTGAACAAACGCCTCCTTATGCATCATCAGTGGAGGAACACAGAAACATATGGAAGAGCACTATCACGTTCAGACGCATTCATTCATAAAAGTTCTATTTGAATTCCTGTTTGCGCATAACCTGACGATGTCATGCATTCACGCACTCGAATTACAGTAGTTTTACTGGAAGTAAAATTACACGTTCCGTACATTTTTGTCTCTAATTAAGACAGCATAACACGTGTGAATCATTTTGGAAAAGTTATGTCCGATATTTAATATGTAGAAGGTTAATGTTTTAATTATAAATCAAGAGATTAGTCACATGTCTGGCATTTTTTGTTTCGTGTCATCACGCCTTTGTAATGTGTGGCAGCAAAGGAAGAATAATTATTTTCGACTTGGAAAGTATTTTCGAACCGTACTTTTGAGAGACCATAAATCTGAAATCGAAAATAACGGCTTTAAAAACTATCTGACAGACTTAAGTGTACTTTGCATTATCTTTTTATTTAAAATATTGCTATTTGTCCATACTTACTGTATACATGCATATATTCGAACTTGGGTATTTCGCCAAGACAAATGAAAATATTTCAAATATTGCACATATTTCTTTCAATAACAAAATCCATTCTATAAAAACAGTATGGCAATTGGTTTACAAAACTATACTAAAGGAATGATTATTGAAAACTGTTTGATGAGCCTGACCAAATCCTCTTTTATATTGTCAGGTGTGCCAGTGGTCTGTGGTGCTACGACCTTAAATTAAGAAAAGGTTACCCAATAGTTCCACCAGATGGCTTCGACTTCAAGAATGCCTTTTGTGTCAAACTACCAGCAACTACCACCAGCACCAACAGTCCGGTTCCGGTCGACCAACCTGATAACCCTAAACTTCAGAATGACCAAGGAGACACTAATGAAATTGCAAACGACAGCGTTGTTATACAGATAGGGAATCACACCCATAACGGAACACTGGACGAAATTACCGGCATGCCTAATGGCACAATAATGACGTCACTTCCTCTGAAGACAACACTGGTCACAAAAACCTCAGCAACTAAAGTTACGCCACAAAGCAAAGTGAATAAACAAGCATCACCCACCGTTGCAACGAAGAGCTTTAAAGTCCCATCCTCAAATAAAAAGACCACAACGATAAAACCACCAACTTCAGTAACAACACCTTGGAAAGCAACAACCTCAAAGGTCAAGGAAACCACGGCAATGAAGCGCAAGTCGGGGTCAAGAGGCTGGTCTGTATTAGTAAGACTTTTGTCGGCACCTAAGAGAATTACATCCAGTACGACCGTCCCGGTGAAGGCTATTACCCCGACGTTCCGCGGTAACCATCTTAGTTCATCTACATCGAACTCGTCATCGACCAGGCATACGGTACCATCACGGTCTTCTCTGACCAGCACTGTGTCTTCTACGGGTGTTGATGAAACGAAGACGACAAACACGCCACAATTTACGGCAAAGGGTTCTCCAATGCAAGCCAGATTTACCAGCACAAAAAAACCGACAAAGATCTCAGAGAAAGTTTCCGCAACTGCTAATGGAACAAGTGCCCTGGTAAGATCAACAACGGCGCCACCAAGTGATACAAGTCGACAACAGGGATCCAAGGACCAAATGACCAGCGAAAAACAAAGCGCCACCAGGGACAATCCCTTACTAAGTCTTAATACAATGGACACCAAATACGTTCTGTTGCCAATGTCAATGTTCAAAGAGCAAGACAAGAAGAGCATGTTTGAAGTTATGTTTGGCAAAACTTTGGATGAGTTTCTTGGAATTGATATTATGGTTCCTCAGGAGAGAAGCGATCTTGCAGAGACTGGCTGAGGTAGTATTGGGCATAAATGTTCAAGAAATCAACATAACAGTGCCAGTATGATAAACTTTATTTCGGTACTGACAGCCACCAATTTCAGTATGCAATGTGACCTTTCTTCACCAACGAGGACATTCTATATCTATGATATGTTTGTATCTGTTATCTTTCATTCGGTTTATGAAACTGGCGGTGACTTGTCGTATCAAAAAAGGATATTTTTGAAAGATATAACTCGAAAGATGTTGCAAAGAAGCTTTATCACAGTCGAATATAGCGACTGGTCGGTGCCAAGTACCATTATATAAACAAAAAGACTGCATATTTCGATTTTTATCGGATGCCATAGCTGAACGTTCTGTATATGTCAGGGTAATCTTATTATAAACGTGTATGCGCAGTACTCTAACTACAGCCCCACAAATGTGATTGTTAGTTCTGCCTAACACTATGCCGGTGAGACTCAACATGCCTTAAAAAAGCATTAGAGTCAATTTAAGGATGTCATTCGATGTGATGTGTTGTTTAAATTGCTGTTCCATCTGCGTGTACTTCTTTTCAAAAGTTAAAATGTATATATCTCTAAATTCAATCAAAAGCAAATTATTATATTGTGAGGAGGACTATTTAGTGATTATTTGAATTTTGCTGTATCTGATAATTTGTGAGTAGTTTATAGGTCTTTTGCTTTTTGCCCAGCGATCCATTGGTGTATCCATCATATTGATTTGCCTGGCATTCTTTCTAAAAACAGTTATTTTCTTAATAAATCGAGGGATTTTTATTTGCTTACCATGCCAAGGCTTTATATAGAAGTTGATCTTTTGGATGCCACAACAGAAATGATTGTGGGTGTTTTTCGTTTCAAGCACATTTTACCATTGCTTACAGTTACTTAATATTAAGATTACATATATGTTTTTAAACTAAACGTGTTCCGTGTGTTCAGATTTTAGGTACCTTAAAGACTATCTACAACTGGTTGTGTCGAGAGGTAACCGCAAAAACGACTCGACTTCGACAAGAAACCTTAATTACAAAAAAAAAAAAAAAAAGCACTCTTCATGGTGATACAGTTACCTTAGATCATGGTAGTAGCGAATCATACTGTCTGTGAAACTCACAAACTGTACCCACCCTACACACACACACAAACACACACACACAAAAAAAAAAAAAAAAAAAAAAAAAAAAACACGTTTGGTTACTCCACCCGTTTCCGTTTCCGTGTATCTAAAAATAGTGAAATTATTCAAATCCGTCGGTCTGATAGCATTTGGATGAATTCCTGATGCCCATTATGTAGACGGTTTCAAATGCTATACGTTATATTGCACGTAGCTGTGAAAGGCATTTGGCACTTCATCACGTGTTTTGAAACCGCAATGGCAGCTGGTACCAGGTAGGCATGAAAATGGCCGCCTAAGCACGTGCCCAAACACGCATTAGAAATGGTAGTTGTCACAGACAAAGGTGCAATGATATCTGTAGCGTTAAATTTGACGTCACACTTAGTCTATCCACAAATATTTCATGAGCTGTTCAACGCTATCGATTTTGCCCATGCCACATTCTTAAGGCCTTAATTAGCGCCACGTTTTTACCCATCTAGAATAAACAAATAGTTGTCGTAATTATGATAGTACCTTTATTAGCAGCCAACCGCAGCACTAGTGCTCCTGTCCTTTTAAATAATTTTTCTGGATTGACGAGTTACTTATCAACTATATTAATTTATTTACTGATGTCCTTTAATAGGACCCTGGAATTGTGTTTCTGAACTCTATTGTCTTCCACTTTAATGCCCATTGTGTGAACGAAAAGAAGCCACAGCCACAGACTTATCAGCATTGATAAATATGCATATATACGAAAAAATTTGTTTAAGACAGAAAATCGGTAAAATACACCATGGACGCTTGGGAAATTGCTAACCTATTAAATATAATTACATATGTTTAAATAAAAGTCCGTTGCAGTAACAGCCTGGACAAATGACTTGCCTCGTCTGGAATATCTCCAAATGTACTTCACTGGCCCCAGGGCAGAGATCTTATAATCACAAACAGGATGGTTTGGTGGTACTTTTTTGTGTATAAAACTACATACAAACATTTGTCCGCTGATTTATCTTTAAGGTGACCTAATTGGATACCCATATAAAGCACAATAATCTCGTTTTAGAACATCAATAACTGACAGTGCCTGGGACAGGGGGTTTAAAAAACTCCCAGGCCTGCTCCAGGTCTGCTTTAATCAAGGTGCCATTTGAAAAACTTCAGCTATTTTCGAGATGCCGTACGGAATTACCAAAGATTGGCCGAATTTTCTGGCCATGACGCAAAATGACTCCTTGATAACTTTTTTGCAGACTGACGGCATTCCGCGGCGTGTGAACCTGTTTTTGCGACACTTTTAGATTTCAAACATTATTTTTGGGATTCCTTATTATATCTTGTACGTTTATATTTGTATAAAGCGGAAAAATAGTTTGGTACGTGTCCATATGATAAAATGTGTATCACAAATTACATAAATTACAACTGTATGTTTACATATTAAATCTTTACATATCAGAACTGTATTAGCAAACTGTTTTCATTCCATGTTTTCATCTGGACTACGGACATGTCACTTTGAAGTAAATGATCTACACGTGTACCTATGTTAAACGCACACCCAACAATAAGGAAAATGTAATTTCTTCTTGAGGAATAGATGTCAAGGACCTACCTTGCATACTTTGACTGCATTCTTCAAAGTTGGGCGTTGCAAATTTATCAAAATAATTCTTACCTAAAAAGTAAATACATCTGTCCATTTTATCTGCCTATGATCCTCACTACCCAATCACATACCTATTTACCAATCTATAAAATTTAAAGGAAGAAAATGTCGAGAATCTTCCCCCATACCAGGCAAGCGTTATACCAGAAAACGTCCACATTTTCCGAGGGTACCTTGGAGACGTACACCTAACAAGCCTTCAGGGTAGGAACTCGGTGAACCGAAAAAGAATCTGTGTGTGGCAGAAAATGGCTTCATTGTTTTTAAATAGACATTCTATTTGCTTTAAAAGTAAATAAACACCAGTAATGGTGTTGAGTAATGCGATTGTTTTAGCAAAACAATCTCCTTTTGCTTATGCAAAGAGCACGCCAATGAAATATTTGACAGAAGTATTTTAAGGGGCCCAGGCTCGTTTTGAAAAAAAAAAATAGGTGTTTCAATTTAGTATTTGGGAAATGTATCTTAAAAAGCAGGTTCTCCGAAACGTGAACGCCGGGGTGGAACTGCATTTGTGTTATGATGTCATTATTGTAGATGTTTAAATGACTTTTCTCTTCTAAAACAAGCTGACACGATTTACTTTGATTACTTTTGAAGGAGCTGAACATTTGGCAATATTGTTATTTGTTTGATCTGTTTATATTTCAAGATATATTTGTTCTATTTTAGAAAGACCCTACTTTGTCAATTATTTGATGGATGCGAGAGTGAGTGAGTGGGATTCAGTGTATAAACTAGTGCAAATTAATAGAACAGACCTGTTATATACCATATCTTTCATAATGCCCATTTTGTAAAATATCTCATTTGGCAGCGAATGTGCCTAGCTAGGGGCGACTCGATCATGCAATCGTGAAAGAAAGGTATAGAATGGACATATTACAATAATGCCGTTCTCTATCTTACATAACAACATGCCAGACTGGTATTACCTTTTATGGTCTGAGACGTTATGTTTTGATATTTCATCCATTCTCTTCCTGGTTACGCGCCTACGTCATGAAAAAATCTCGAAGTCCACACGTCTGAATTCCACACATTCCGAACCAGGAATGTAGACAGGTCCTAAAATATCTTTCCATTATTAGCACTTGAATCACGTCTTGTTTCCAAAGACTCCTATAGCGCTGGTTGAGGAAATACCGCACCTCATATTTATGTGGCATTATTTTCCCATTTGTGGATCACCACCCGAAGCTTAATAGCACTCATCCCCTATATAAGTCAGGCGTTAGGCAAACATAGTCAACCGACCACTGATTAGAGCACTTCAGCACCCAGAGAGCCAAAGACGACAGCCAGTGTGTTCTATTGAGAGGACTTTGAACATAATTTATTTTTGTGAAACATCATCGAATACTTTCGTTTTTGTAAGATTTTGCATTATTTTTGGTACAGCTAAGAACCTGACCTGAGCAGATATTAGTTTACAGCATTTGACAATTGAGACAGACGTTCCAACTGAAATTTCTTCTTCAACGCAACTCATCATTCGACTTTGCAAGCAAGATGGTTTCTGTCAAAGTTTTAGTTGGACTCACGCTGGTGGTTCTAGCGTGCATTACCCCCCTGACGTCGGCTATGGGCTGCGGACTGCCCTGTTCCCAGCGCGTGCTATCCAAATGTATCCGACCCACGGGCTGCGAGCTGGCCAAACGACCGTGTGGATGCTGCCCGACTTGTGCGCTGAAAGAAGGGGACCTTTGTGGTGCTTGGACGTCATGGTAAGAAGGTGGTTTTATTTTGGCTCTCCATATCTAATAAGTAATCGTTCATGTTTTAGACGTCAAGTGTTCTCATTAAATATCTGTAAATTAGAAATACTGTGACTACATTTTTGACAATTTTGTCTTCCAATATATAAAACGGCTACTTGATGAGTGCAAATGTTCCCATAAGTTACTAACGAAATCTAAAAAACATTTCGAATACATAATTTGTTTTTCAGTGTGTTACAGTAAAGGAAAATGAGTGCCTTTTCAAATTAAATAGAATTATGTGTTGATCATATCTCCAACAAATAAAACAGTTCTCAAGAAACAGACGATTACCTGACGTCAAGAATACAACTCGTTACTTTTTCCGCCTAATTTTTCTTTATAAAACGTCGATAAAAAGTAACGGTTATGGATTCTTTAACCAAACCCCTTTCATAGTTACTATGTCATAAATATAACCGCTAAAATGAAAGGAATTTAAAGGTCGGTTTTACTTACAAAATGTCCATCGTACCGTGAAAGGGACTGGCCAATTAATGAAGTGGGTAGAGTAACATTTTGCTCCCTTCTAAGTGGGTCAAATCTTGTTATTTTTAAATGTTTATTTATTTCATCGTGTATGTAGAAAATATATACGCGTATTATTAATTTAGATAGGTGTAGCACTCAATAGTCAGAATCCCATAAGATCACAAAATACTGTGCCACTATAATTTCGTTTGATTTTCAATATCTGCATCAGGGTCCATGAAGGTGGTATGCCTATTTCTACATATTTTGATTAAGCTCGACATTAACAAATTAATCAAAATCTAGATTTTTCAGTAAATATTCTTATTGTTGTCTTTTCCACAGGTGCCAGAAAGGCCTATGGTGCTACAGTGGTATGATGCGACTGGGCTTCGAAAGGGTTCCACCCGAATTGTTCCAGTTCCGTGGCATCTGCACCAAGAAGCCCGGCTTTGAGACTCACCATAAACTGAACGACCCTACCAACCCCACCAGCATCACCCACCAGGGCACCACTCTGCCCTCAGGCATCACCTACGGCAAGGTAATTATGAACCTTTTGTTATTTTGTTTTAGGTAATCTCTTTGTATGGCTACAGTCACAGTCTGAGTACAGTGCACTGCAGGCCTTTGGTTTTTATTTGGCATAGTGCACATCATGAAAAGAAAACCGTTGAAGCATAATATGCATAATTACATATTTAATAGATTGTCTGAAGAATAAATAGGTTCTCACCAAGCAGGGTCATCGAGATAATTGGTTCATCTTTTGACTATAATGAATATGTACACCTACAATATATTTTCATTACTTTTGGCCTAGTTATACCTCGAAGAAATTATACGTGTTCAGAGATTTTATGAATAAAAGAATAAATTTGGAAATGTGATAAATCTTTTAAATATTTTGTATTATATTTTTCTTATAGCTCAACCAAAGAAGGACCGAGGCTGCCACCACTACCACCACCACTTTGCCAACCACAACCACCGTCATCACCACAACCACAACCAAGACCACGGCACCACCAGGCACCACCACAAACGCCCACTCCAAGACAGGCACCTCAGCGTCTGACACCATCATAGAATCAGGACAGTTCCTTCTGGTGCCCCTGTCACAGCTGAGAGAACCCAAGAGACAGGAGCTGTTTGCTCGCCTCTTTGGCAAGCCTCTCCATGAGTTCAAGTCTTTGAGGCTGTTGGTGCCGTCTGATACGATCTCCAAAGAATAAAGAGTCCTGTGGACTTGTGTGACTTTCAATCATTCGTATTCATTCATTCATTCACCCTGTTGCGGGGCATTTGTGGGTCGTTCTTAGAGATTGTGGCTGAGACGGTCAAAACTCATTGACAATCCGCCGCCTGTCCGTTCAAGCACAAGAAGACTTTGAACTCTGATAGATTGAATCTTGAATGAAAATGACGTCAGATTGACCTCATATATGACATCATCAAGTTGGGATATCGACCACGTGACAGCTCACGAAATCCACATCTTTTGACTTTCAATCTAAGATCAAGAGACATTATATCATTTGGCATTAATTGTGTTTGGGTTTTTTATGCATTTATATTTTAAGGACACCGCCGGGCTTATGTTGCGACATAAAGCTTTGCAATGTCAATAATTTGAATATCACATAGAATATTACTCGATGATTAAAACCGGGGTTCTTTTTCTTAGGTATTCTGATTTAATGAATCTAAGCAAGAAACAAGAGGTGCTGTCACGAGGTGTGTGTAGGCTTACTTCATGCTGTAAATTAAAATGATTGGTGAAACAACAGTGCTAAAATTCATAGCGGAAAAGGTACACATTCAATGTATCGATATCAAACGAGAATCGTGAGCAACTGCCTCAACGCTTGTAGTTAGGGTATTTCTTGGCAACTTGGAGAAAATTTTGGAATTTCCAGTTTTTTTTTTTTTTTTTTTTTTTTTTTTTTTTTGGTGTTGTTTTATAAAAGCAACTGTACACTATGTAAATATTTAATTTTTGTAAATTGTAAATAAATATAAGCCAAAATGTGTAAATAAACAGTTTATAGCGAATTTCACTCGCGTCAGTTGTTTAAGGACATGATTGTGCACGTAAGTTTGCTAGATGTAATGTATGTTTTTAGTTCTGAAATATGTGCGAAACTCCTCTCTCTCTCTCTCTCTCTCTCTCTCTCTCTCTCTCTCTCTGTTACAGTACTATATGCGTACCTCTCAATGATGTCAAATTATAAAGGTGTAAATGAATTAAATTAACTGTTTCTGCAAACAAATGGAGTACCTAGACTGAATATTTGGCAATCATGACATATTCTTCTTTCATGAGGATATCACTGCATTAGTTGTACAGACAAATTGTAAGCACCATTGCGGTTGTTGAGAAGAAGCACATCCAGCACAACTGACACATTGTGGTTCCTTGCCTTGAAAGCAGCTATCGCTCTTCACGCTATTTTACCCCAAATCCCCACCTGCCTCCAGAGAAAATCTCCAGCAGAATTAAAAGCCAATAGCGCGCTATATAGTCCCTTTGCCCAGATGCTGAGTGCGGTAATTCCTCAACAAATTTTCAATTATCCTAGTGCTGAATGATTATTGTTCCACCAAGTCCGTTAAGTTCTACAGCGCATTAGAACGCAGAAAACCTGTTAATAATCTTGAGACTCATATCCGTTAACAGAGGGACGCGTGCCATAATGAACACGCACCACCTTATACTCACACCAAGAGTTATGAAGTAGACTACATTATTTACATTCAAATGAGTCATCTAAACCGGCAAATGCTTGCAGGAGAGGCATTAGTCTACGGCTGACTCAGGGTGAATATTAATGAAATACAAATGCAATAATATGAGAGAGAAAACGTCTGTTATGATTATTCACTTCAGTCAGACATGAAATGCACCTTCATAGCTCTCACTTTTCATGACCTGATGCTCACAAAGATAATGATTCATTGGCAAGCTAGAGGACGTATAACGGCGGATTGTTTCTAAAAAAAGCAATTGCCCCTGTGCGTTTTTGTTTTTAATAGCACTATGTAACTTATACCACTACATACATGCAAATCGATAAAGTTTGCAGTCAGAAAGCATCTTGTTCATTTAAATAGATTTTATATCTATAGACTTAAAGGTGGCCATATCTGATCATGACAAACGTCACACAGCTTTATTACGTACCAGTTCACGAAAACGAAAGTTATAAGACTAGTTTTCAAACTATGATATATGAACAAGAGAAGTTTTATTGTTTTGCGGTAATTGCGATTAATATTATTTTGCCTTTATATCTTAAAAAAAATGCCAAAATGCTTATTTTGCGACATAAACCGTTGCAATAGAAATAGAAGGGCAAACTCGAGTGCACTGAAGTGTATGATTTCAGTAGCCTTCGGAAATGTTCACGGGTACTGTCAGGATTACAAAAAAAGTCCTTATTTACACCTTACATAATTTTTTGGATAATAGATAAATCTTAAGTGTTGACTGACTAAATTCCTTGGCATTTACACACACAGATTGCTATCTCACCTCAGAAGCTAAAAGCGATCAGTTTTTACAGTAATCGATTATTATCCGCCAGTGGTTCGCCTTCTTTACCTTTGAGGCTCGGACACATTCAATGTGCATTTTCTAGGTTCAAGTTTAAATTCAGCGTACAACTGTATGTTTTAACATATAGGTTAAAACCTGTACTGTACCAACAGAAAATTTCATATTGGCTCCCCTTTCCATACATGTGTATGATAAGCAATGCAGCAGTAGCCTAATGTCAACGTTTCGTGACCAAATGCATATTCTTAATAGCATCCTTAACAGTTGAATTGCAGAACATATTCTCCATCTTGAAATTATGTGTAGTCCCAGTGTCACACTATTTTGCCCAAATTGAGTAGATAAAAAGCGAATATGGTGATTCAGGGCCGTAGCCTCCGGGGGGGGCAGGGGGGGCAGCTGCCACCCCTGGGATTTGAGGTGCAAAAAAAAATAATCGCAAAGGTAAAAAAGAAATTCTGATTGAGCAATAAATAACAGTTAAAATGCACCAGAATGCAGTATTATACATACAGTTTTTAAAATTTTTCCACACCCCCTCCCACACCTCCCCCCTCGGGGGCTTTGCCCCCTCGTGTCGGCTTACTGCCCCCCCTAGCATTTTGCTCAGGCTACGGCCCTGTGATTAGCTATTTGCGTGTGAATTTTAAGTAATAAGTCAACCTCCATATCTGTCCAACTCATAGATGGGGCATAGGACATAAGTTGAGAAGAGTTAAACGGCCAACCGCGTGTTTAATCTCCATAAAAACATTGGAGCTTCTTATTTTACATAACTGGTCTATAGTGACTGACAGCTTCCTCTCTCTGTCTCCCTCCCTCCCTCCTTCATTTATTTTATTTTATTTATTTAATTGTTTTGCTAAAACAAACTTTAAATATAGATCCTTTGCATATTCATATCTTTTTTTTTCTTTTTTTCTTTTGTTTTTTTTTTCATGAAAGGTAACGGTTCCTTGACCAATGCTTTTCGTGAAAGACTCCACAATTTCACTTTTATGCATTTTGTATCGTGACTGGGGCTCTGCAATTAGAAACAAGTGTTCGTAAATTGCTGTTTGTCACGTATATTAGATAAGGCCAAAATATACAGGCACTGTCCCCGCAGATAGGATCTCCTACCCCGTATGTTTTGGTGCTACACTGTAGACATGTAAAGGCGGCCCTGCTGCCATGTCGTACTTGTATGCTTTTGTCCTCGTTTTGGCGCTTTTTATGGTTTTTGGGAATTGTGATCGCCTTGGAAGGTAAGCGTTGATAAATATTAAATGACACCTAGACTATTACTTTCAAAACTAAAAAGAACGGAAGGAAGAAGGAAACAACTTACAAGTAGCTTAGGTCAATAAGCAGACGACATCACTGTACGCTCAATTAGCAATAAGAATCCTTTATATTTCTCCATATCTCTGATTTTTATTATTCCAAAGATTAACAGGAAGACAAATTTTTTATTTCAGATTCCGCCTTACCTATACTGTAACAGAGTTAACCCAGGCCCGGGGCGTGGGCAGGGTTTGTGGCTTTCCCCTGGAAGAGAGGTCTGGCAAAGTACACCGTGGTTAAGACGCCAAGTACAACTACTGAGACGAAAACGGAGGATATTATTGATAACAAACTATTGAGATGAAAATGTGGGATATTGTTGAACTTTTATTTACAAGTATTACCCAGAGAGCTGTAGCGAACGGTTGCTCACCAACTGCTCTCGTTGCTGAAAATAAAAAACAATATTGCCAAGATATTGCAACAGGAGGGAAACCCTGGGTCTTGAACTTCAGGGTTAATATTTCCAGAGAGGGGTCTGAGTTACGTTATAGATACCAAACAATATTACCAAGCAATTTTAAATGCCCAGTTTCATGCTGAATATTTACAGAGATTAGGAATTTTTTGGACATCGATAAATGCTTGAAGTTCCTTTCTGGCTCCAGCTTAAATGTTGTGCCTAGTGCTGCCATCTGGCGTGTATTGCTTCAGTTACATAATCAGTTACGCAAGTAGGCCTACAGTTACATGTACTATCAATCATGAAC